AATTGAACATCAAATTTCCATGTAACCAAATGATCAGCTTTTTTACATTAAAATGTAATGGATTTGTCTCGCCAAATTGCTGACCAGTTTTTAATCAACTTTAAATTGTCCAATTTTTGATGCTGTTTTCAAGGTAATCTAAATGATTGGTAACAAGCAATTGATTACGATCAATTTTCTTGATACTTGAGATGATTAAATCTCATCAGTTGACTGATACTTGCTATTAAACAGTCAGATTAGTCGGATGATATACTTTTATTGAAATGTAATCAAGGCTTAGATTTTAATCAATAAACGTAATTGAATATGAAATAAAAAACATATGAATTAACCGGTTAAATTATGTTGATTAACCGTTGCAAAAGCAAATATGTTTAACTGGGAAATACCTTGAATCATAATAAATGATTAAGTTATATTAATCAGTCACCAACAAGGTCAACGTAATAGTCTTTAAAACATGTTGATTACTGTTGTTATGTTTAAGGTTTCAGATGTAATTATCTAATTGTAATCAAAGTGATGATCAACAGTTACATGATAACAAATGAAGCTTTTATTATGATTTGTTGATAACATGAAAGATCCTTGATCAAACGGTAATCAGTTATTGATTAATTCATTGTTTAATCTTGAAATCGGAAAAGACCCAAAAACAAATGAATTAAAAGCTGATTGATTAATTTTTGCCTTCCAAGTATTTCAATCCAAAAGGTAAAGGTTGTTAAATTGGATCAATTTAAATGTCAACTGTTAACGTATTTATAGCAAAACTGAACAATTAATAAATGGCAATAAAAAAAGGGTTTAATTGCGGCAATAATTTTCGGGTCAAAAACTTAACCAGAACCAGAAAATGTCTGACAAAATTGTAAAGAATGTAAAAGATACCAGAAAATTTGAAGAGATTTCATTTGAAGATAGAGTTGAAAATTTGAATTCGCTTTGAATTTGATTTACTTTTCAGCTTGAATCTTGTTCAATCCAGAATATACTCGAATTAAAGGATCAATTGGTGTTTGATTGTTGATGATGCATCTAAAAGTAAATTGAAAACAATCAAATCTGATTACAATTTTGCGTAAATCCTAAACTCTTCTGTTTGGGTTTGTCATCTTGATCAGTGTATATCAATTTTTTGTCTATCTTTATTTTCCTTTAACCACTTGGTCGGCTGATTAGCAAATTAATACAACTTGTCAACAACAATTAGTCTAGATTGACAACAATTATTGTACCCTGATCTGGACCGATGATCAATTTGATAATGACAGGAATCACAAGAATATAAAGAAACGTTCTAGCCCAGAGTTATATATTTTTACTGAACACAGTAACTTCACACACTTTACCTTATTTTCAATTCTTGTTTTGCTTTTGCTTACGATGATTTACAATTTACACCAATCTAAAAGTAGTTACACTTGCAAATACAATTTACCTTATAAATATTTTATCCTATTGTGGAAACACCATTTAAATTAATTTTCAATAATTGATTAACCATCAAAAATCATTAAAAAAAGCCATTTGTTTACACCACTATTGCCAGTCTCATTCACTTGTTACTATAGAGTTAAACTGGTTGAGTTTTGCTGCGTAAAAACCAGAAATTTCGAGTTCTTCGTTTTGGGTTTCAACCATTTTCTCCCTGGTTTTCAACAATATTAACCAGAATACGAACCAAATAAACATTCCAATCTTAAGGTAAGTCTAAATTGATTAAACACTATTATCAGCTAATATAGTTAACCTTTTGCTCAACAAAATATTAATCCATTTGCTTTCGATTTCTTACCATAGATCTCCATATATTGTAAAACCAACGAACAATGATAGCAACCGATTATCCCAGGCAAGGTAAGATATCTATTTGTTTGTCATCTAAATCAGTTATCAATTGATATCAAGATACCTTTTATCGACACTTAAATAATCATTGAGATCACCAGAATTGATTGTTTAAATCAATTTGAAAAGGTAAAGTTGCTAAAATGGAGAGATATCCATCCTCATGTAATCTGGTTTTTTTAGACTGGGTTGGAAAACTTACATTGAAGACTTTAGGTTCACTTTCTGGTTGATTATCAATCTTGTTAGTTGTTATTGTTCCCACTGGCTGTTGATGATTTTTATTTTGAATCCCCTTCAGGTGACCTCTAATATATTTGACTTTCTTTAATTGTTAGTGAGTCTGTTGAAAACAAATTGTATATAAATGAAGTTGAGTGTGAATAAGCGAGTTTATAATAAAGCTTTCTTGTAACCATCAAAACAGGCATCTCCTTCATGATTTTGATTATACCTCGTTAATTGCTCACTAGATAGTAATTTTTATTAGAAACCAAAAGTTAACCTATTTACATTAACATTAATTTTTATCAACATTGTAATTAAGAAAGATACAAAAATACATAAATAATTAGTCTTTCATTGATTGTTACCAGAACTTGTAAGTAGTAAGCAAAAGAAA